CGATTGTAAACGTTCCAGAAAATTGATCAAATTGAAAATAGTTCGTTTGACTGGACGTAAAAATTCTCTAATTAGTCTGGAAACGGGGGACCTAATTCTTGCATTCTGTGAAAACGGGTAAGATTGGCTATAATGTAATTATCTTAATCTTCACTATCGTTACTTTTTGCTCACAAATAAAAACCCTGAGAAGCAGGTCCTTGCAGTTAGATTCTAGATTACTTAGAAAAACAGTCTTTTATATATTAAAAAAAAACTATATTACATACAAATAAAAACCCAGCAAAGCGGGTCCTTGCAGCTAGTTACAAAATAAAAATAATACTAAATTTAATGTAAATTAGGCAGAAACTTTCCTTAAAAAAATATTATTTTTAATTATTCAAGCTTCTTATTTAATGTTTTAATTGAATTCAATTTTAATAAAAATTGAGACACTCATTTTATAAAATTTCTATACCAGTATGAAGTGAGTGTATGTATGTATATATATATAAAGTGTAAAATGCCATAATGTTGTAAATGCCAAAAAAACAAACTTTTTAGGAGAGATAAAAACGATTTTTTCTAGTTGAAGGAATTCATGTCAATTTTACAATAAAATGGTAAAAAACTCTAAATTCAGAACCTGTTACCGGTGTAATATGTGTGAAAAAATTTCCCTTTCACAAACCTTTTCGAACTTTAGAGATAGTTATTCTTCAGGAAAAGAAATTCCATTGGAACACTTCGAAAAATGAAGCATGGATATTCAAACAAAAAACCAAATACTTGCATAACGGAGCTCGCTGAGACGGGCATGTGCATTGGTGTGCGGAAGTTGGTATTTAAAGATTGTCGTTTATAAGGGCCTGTCACGCTAGAGAAAGATTAAGCTCATCTTTTTGGTTTATACATGTGGCCACGCAGTTAGCCTTGTAGATGTATACAACTTCTAGCCATTTTAGATGTTCTAGGTGGGGTGCAGAGTCGATGATGTCAGTCTTGTCGAATTCCAGTTGAATATCAGGATCAGACGCAAAGGTGGCCAGGGCCGTGGTGTATCACCCGTGTCAAAGGTCCGCTTGATGTTTACGTATTCTGGTAGCCAAAGAGCACTTGGTTGAACCGATGTACAGTGGTACCTCAGGATACAAACGCCCCAGCATACGAAATTTTCAGGATATGACATGAAATTCAAACATATTTTTGCTCCATGATATGAACAAAAACTCACCATACGACGCTACATTAGTTTGCAGTGCCATTTTTTATTCATTTCTGTTCATTGGTCTCAGTCCGCGTGTTTGCTTCATCATGGAAGGATGTCGCTCGATAAAGGAAATCTTGAGGTATTATCAGAAAGTGACTGATTTTATTGAAAAGAAACATCCCAAAAAGGTGGACTAAGGAAATTGCCAGGCTATAAGGTGGTAAATGAATCTGTTTACATTGGATCATTTCTTACAAATAAAGGAGTATGCAATAATGAAATTAAACACAGAATTTGCCTCGCTCGCAATGCAACCTCTAAATTATTTAGAATTTGGAAAGATTCTGCAATCACTATTTTTAATAAACTAAAGTTCATAAGAATGCTTATTTTTCCAATTGCCACTTATGCCTCGAAAACCTGGACCATAAATGGCACTTCTCAGAAGAAACTTGATTCCTTTAAAATATGGACATATAGAAGAATGCTGAGAATCTTTTGGATGGAGCACCAAACAAATTGATCCATCCTAAATCAACTGAAAATCACAACACTCCTTACCACTAAAATATACCAATCCTATCTTCGTTTCTTGAGACATATTTCCAGATGCAAAATGGATTTGAGAAACAAATTCTAGAAGGGAAGATCAATGGCAAATGCCCTAGAGGCAGATGTTGGATTAAGTGAACAGACCAAGTTATGATGATTACAGAACATATAATATATGAAGCCATCCAAATGGCACAACACCATGAGCAGTGGAAAGATACAATTAAAGCTGTCAATTCGTAATATCACCACGCCCTCTGATGGGCATAGGACCAAGAAGAAACGACATTGAATAGATTACTTTAATTACAATCACCTATTAGTTTAAGTTGAGTTAAATAATTCATTATTGATAAACATAAAATGTTTAAAAATAATAAAATTGGTTTGTTTCTTCACTACTAGGTGCATAAATAGACACAAGGCATTTTACATCATCTTTATTGATCTTCTATTGGCCGATACTTGTTTCGGGCAAGGCCCCTCACCCATCAGCATTACATCCGGAATCTTCTTTAAATTTTGTTGCTACATATATATTTTTTATGTTTAAAATTATGTATTTACAGTTAAAATCGTTAAAATATCATTGCTGTTTAAAATATATTTATTATTTAAATTACTATTACAAGTGAAGGTTTCATGGTTTGACATCTAGCATAATTTTAAACATAAAAAATATATATGTAGCAACAAAATTTAAAGAAGATTCCGGATGTAATGCCGACGGATGAGGGGCCTTACCCAAAATGCATATCGGCCAATAGAAGATCAATAAAGATGACGTAAAATGCCTTGTGTCTATTTATGCACCTAGTAGTGAAGAAACATACAAATAAAGGAAGACATGGTCTTGGAAATACATAAGTAATGAAATTAATACTATTAAATGTTTATTCATTACTTTTTTGTTATTGAATTAGCAATGTATCATAGAGAATTACATACTCAAAAATTTATAATGTGGATTCCTGATAATCAGATTACTGCTTAATTAATGAAGTTGCATAATTTCTTGTTTATTCTAGATCCTAACTTAGCTTAATTTTTAACTTAATTTGTTATAAGTTAGGATCTAGAATATTTTTCATTGGCTTAATATAACAAATCTTTTCATAATTTATTTTTGTCTGATTTACCATATTTTAGGCAGTTTTAGATATTTTATTAAAATAGCTTCTCATTAAAAATAGATAGGTTACTTTTAATAATAAAATTTTCATCAAAAATGAAAGTGAAATCAAAATGTTACTAAGATTATGTAACTTTGTAATACAGATTCTATAGTAATACAGTATTAATAAAAATATTCCATTTTATTTTTAATATTAATAATATGAATTTATGTATTTTATCACAAAAATTAAGCATTGAATGATTATATTTATTTCACTTTTGATCCTTTGAAAACTGAAAGTCAAGTAAATTGTCACCGAGAAATTAGTCATATTTTCTTATATAAGTACAACAGCAGTACTATCAAATTTCATATCAGAAAATAAAATAGTATCCAGATAACTTTTTGTTCATTTTCAATGACTTAACTAGAGAAAAATAAACTGTTTTTCTCTGTATTAATGGCACTGTTTTTCATTTATTTAATTATTTGGCTCCGAATTAAAAATTCCATATTTAAAATAAAATGTAATATAATTTGAAAAGTTCTGTTTATTTTTTCTTGTTATTTTCTTTATAATTATTTCAATCAGTTAATATTATTATTCAAAACTATAACATTATTAAATAATCTGACAATCTGTGTTGAATTTATTATCTTGTCTGAAATTTCAGCATTATCAAAATTATATTTTTAAAACTAAACTTTCTGTTTGACAGAAAGATATAATTCAATGATGCACTCTTTTCAAAGGATTAATTTAAAAAAAACAGTTGAAATTTACAAAATTTTTTATAGAGTTTTTTTTATTGTTTATGTGAGATAAAGAATTAAAAAAACCTCCATAAAAAAATAAAAGCCAATTTCTTAAAATGATTTCAGTTTTTCAATTACTTAAGTATTTATTATTAAAGTTACTTATTATTAACTCTAATAATAAATAGAATAATAATTAATATAATTATACAGGCCTGGTGTATAACAAAGCAAACAAAATATTAATACTTTAAAAATATAGAGATAAAAGATGGGAGGGGTAGTCTAAGTAGTGTTTGTTTTAGATAATCATTCAAGGACTTTAACAAAGAGCGCAGGAAAGCCACACACTAATATTTAAAAAGGGCATCCTGACATTTAAATATAAAAATGTATTCTATTAAAAGGAACAGCTTAACTATTATAATTTCAAAGCTTTTACTTAAAATTTTTATAAAATACAAACTGAATGCTAAATTCTTTACATAAAAAGATCTTTAATTACTATGTATACACAGTGTATCCAATGTGCTTGTGTGTCGTGTGTGCGTGTATAAACAGAATATCCTTAATCCTTATAAACTTTCATAATTTACAGAATTTTTAAATAGTTGTACAGAATTTAAGTAATATCAAGTCAGAAAGAGATTAAATTATAAATATTTTAAAGGATATTTAATCCAATACAAACTTGACAACTTGTCAATTCATTTTGATAATCTATGATAAAAAAAACAAAGAAAACATTCCATTTTTTTTTCGAATTAACAACGTAAATCCAGCATTAAACACTTCAGACACTCGAAACAGAGTAATTAAATGTATTAATGTTATTTTACATAACTCTTAGGGATGTTGAAAAAGGAATTTCTGACGAAAATCTAGAAAGTAAACACACTTAAAATAACCATTATATACGTATAGGGATATATCATTTCACTTTTTAAAATTGTAAGGAAAGGAAAATGAATAAATATCTATTAATAAATGTGAAGAAATAAATAAATTAACGTAAAGAAATGCTACTACAATGGAAATCGATAAGATATAGTTCAAGTGAAGTGCATTGATCTTAGAAATTATCTTTAATTTTATCTCACGTTTTAAATACAAAATAAATAAATAAAATATTTACGCGTTGACTTTTATTCAATTTAAGATCTAATCGATTAGATTTTTATCGAATAAAACACAACAAGCACCTTTATCGTTTGCAACTCAGAAATCTTCTGCTGTACAATCAAGATGGCGATTTTATTCTGAACACCAGAAATAAATATCGACATATATTAAGATCGGCTAAAATTAATCGTTTTATATTTAATAAATTTTAAAAATTGATAAGCGTAAATTTTTTTATTATTATAATTATTCGTTAGAGAGAATATATGTCTTATATAAACTCTCGAAACGGTCCGCGATTGGTGGAAGTAACCGACATTTAAAAAAAAAATAATAATAATAAATACAGTAAATTGATAATGTGACGTCATCAAAAAAATGGTCGATTACTCACGCACGTTTTTCGATGACGGTTTCCGGCGTAGAGCGGCTTGTGTTTGTGTACGGAACGAAGAGGAAAAAGAGGCAAGAAAGTGATTTTTGTGAAACCGTATCTCGAAATATGAATATACGTTATTTTTTTTTACTTGAAATGTGTTGATGTAGGGCCTTGTTCTACACATTTCCCCTTTGAAATGCACTGTTGTTCGTACTTCGACGTCTTTTAATATGCCAAAACGAGAAGAACGTTATAAAAATCGCTTAAAATATTATTTGTTCTTGTTAATTTAATTATTAAATGTGTGTAATTGAACTTTAGAATGAACGTGTTTTGAGATTTCTATTCTAGGAATTAATGAAATGAAATTATCAGCATATTCCAGTTTTCAACGTTAATAAATGCTGTTATCAATTTATTTGAATACAATTCGTAATTATTAGAAACAGAACGATTAAATTAATGATAGGACACAATTATCTTTAAATTTCACACATTAATAAATTTGTGAAACAGGAACATGCATTAAAAACTATTTGTGAAGTTCTTTTCATTATTGAAAGGATGTACCAATTATAAATTGCTTTACCACAAAATACAGCTTTTTATTTTTTTTCCTTGTTTAAAAGTGTTTCTTTTTTGTCAGTTTTCGAGAATGTAGATTAGATAAAAAAGTAACGCGGGGATATTGCTGAAAATTGGAATATGTGATGATTCTAAATAACATTGCTATGTGAAATAAACTGTTTTCTATACAACTGTCTCTTAAATATAAATCATTTGATTATGAAAGGAAATTTTGTTCTGGAAATTTGATATTTATATCAAAAATTGTGTTTTAGAAAGATATACCTTAATCAAATCAGAAAAGTTTTAAAAACATTATAAAAGTATAATATTGGATAAGATTGCTAATCAGATACAGATATAGATTATTTTTATTAAATATCAAATAAGGAAATGACAACTGCTTGGCAACAGATTTAAACTTCTGATATTCCAGATATCAGTTTTGTGCTCTGCAAATGAAGTCAATATAATTTAGTGGTTGCTGATGAATTTTAAAATTTTAAATAATAGCTGCACTTATAAATTAATTTTGTATACGTTAAAAAAATTGAATGTAAATATTATTAATTGGCAGGAGGTAGTAAAATTATGCATTTGTATAATTTTTTAATGTTCATTTATAAAATAGATTTAATGATATCAATTAAAAGAAATTCAACATTCTCATCTAAAATAAAAAATAAGTAAATTAAGAAAAAATGGCTTTAAAGTTCTAGAAATTTAAAGGATCAAATGTATTCTGAAGGTAGAGCTATTACTTTAAAACAGTTAAATACAACTCAAATCTCAAAAAAGCCATTTTCTTATTAAATTCATTGATTAGATGAAATTTTTTAACATTTAGTCTAGATCAAATAGATATATATGGGCTTATCACACCAGTATGTATATGTGTGTATTTGAGCTAGACTAAGTGTTAAACAATATTAAACGCTAAAAGCAATAGATTATTCTATTGTTTTTCAAAATTTTTAAATACAGTTTCAATGATGAATTGGATTATAGACATATTTACTAATTCATTTTCAGAGAAATACATTGATTTTAAGAATTATTGCCATCTAATAAAATGTAAAATTTTATTTTATTTGGAAAATATGAAATGTTTTCAGTCATTTGTGAAAATAGTGTATAACCCAACATTGAACCTATTTCATAAAATTATTTTCTTTATTCTCAAATTATATGTTTCCAACTTTAAATTCTATTACCAAAACTATCAATCCAAATTATGTTTGAAAAAATAAATGTTATAATGTGGAATTTATGAAACATGAATCTAAACTATTGATTACTTTTATCTAATTTTTTAATTAATTAATATCAAAATTTTAATAAATTTTATTAAATATTAATTTATTTAATTTCAGCTTGAAATAATTGGGTATTTAGATGTGATTTTCATAAGATTTGGATTTTAGTTTGTATTATATAGAATTTGCTGTTTACACTGCAAAACTTTAATCTTTGAATTTATTTGTTTACATATGTAAACAAATTCAAAGATTAAAGATTCAAAGTAAAATATATTATATATTTATTTTCAAAGAATCTGTAAAATATCAAACAGAATATGTAACTTTAAATAATTACAAAGATTTTTTTAAAATATCAGATTAGATTATATGCATAAGAGCATCCAATATATGCATCCAATTATATATAATTTCTTATACATTAATCTGTTTTGTGCATTTAAAAACAGACTCAAATTATTTTTAAAAAGATAAAATATTCATTGTACATTTTCCTAAAACAAATCTAACATTGCTACATTTGCTATTATATTAATGCTCTAAGTATTATGGCAAATAAATATAGTTTACATAAGCAGTAAGTGTAGACATACAAAGATTATTATTATGATGGAAAATATAAAGTTTATATTTTGTACTATTTTAATGATGTTTCAGATTGAATATTTTGATGATTGGACTTATCTCTAGTAAATTTTAAATTGTATATAAAAGAATATAGTTTTTATCACTTCTTTTTAATCATAACAGTGTTAAACTTTTCTTAATTGCAGTTGCATTTTTTAGTTTTGCAATATTTCTCACCAAATTTTGAGTTTTTAAATGTTTTTCAAGACTTTCATCTTGTCATCAGATCAAATACTTAACAGATTCCAACATTATGTTTACCATAACTTTAAAATGTCATTTAAGATAAAAATAAAACTAATAAACAATTAATAAAAAATAAGTAAGTTTACTTCTTGAATTATATAGCAATTAAACACATCTACCAAAGAGCCTTAATTGATTCCAGTGATGTTTAATTCAAAACAAAAATTTTTAGACTGGTGTTTTCAACCAGTAAATAGAGATCTTCAAGTCCATATATTCAATGATGGAATGCATAAATCAAATAGTGATTTTTTTGAAAAATTAAATGAAATAACTCATATTCATAAAACATAAAATAAGTAGAGCAAAGTACAAAAATGATAAAAAATGAAACAAAACTAAAAAGTAATGAATTGTATAAATATACACAAGATCATTCCAGTAGATATCATTAGTAAAGATTCAGTAGCAAAATTTAGCAAGGTAATTTGTATATAACAGGTATTGATGCCATTAAATTTTGGAATATGGAACTCAAGGGAGTGGAGAGATATAGGGTCATGTCAAATCTTCAGTTACATTAGACTTAAAAATTTACTCATTGGCAGTGCTTTTAAAAGCTCACCTCTACCTCCAAAATTAAGCCTGTTTTGCTTTTTATAATAATAATATAAAAGATATTTTTTAATAACATCTTGTAATAGATGCATCATATACAGATTTAACTTTGAGTTAGTCCTAGTGTTTTTGAAACTTAAATATTTTTTTAAATGGAGATTTTTATCATATTCAACAAAATTACTCCTTTTAAGCTTTTGTTTTTACTTAAATTTTATATCATAGTATAATTGAAAATTATCAGACTTCCTGATGGACCCCTGTTAACCTCCTGTTTGAGTGCCAGGAAAGTTGAGCAAGAGAATCTTCTAGAAGTTGAATTTTTTTTTTTTTAAATACTTTCAAGAAGGGAAGTAGTCTGCAACCTCAATATTCTTAAAAAATAACTTCAAGTTTACAAAATCATAAAGAACAGCTTACAATTACAATACTATTATTATTTAAATTAAGTATTTTTTCTTAATTTTCATGTTTTTATAACCTTGATTTTTAAGAATATTCTGAGGATGAGGACATCTATTTCTGAAAAGTACTTGAACTTTGATAAGAGAGCTCTCTCTTGATTTATTTATAAGATTGTTCAAAAACATACTATTTTTCCATATTGTATTAATAATCATATCAACAACAATTTTCAAATTTAACAAAATTAATTACACTTCACACCCAAATAGTTATGATGTAATGCATTCCTGTCTTACAGTGTTAAAAACAACTTATTAAATCAGTAAAATAAAAAAATTCAAATAAAAATATGATCTGAAATTCTAGAAACAGAACATGTTTATTTTTAAATAACAAAAAACTAAATCTATTTTTATATGATTTCCTATATTTTACCAGGAATTTCTGATGAAACTGTTTGATAATCTGGCATTAAAAGTAATGTCATTTGTACAATTTTTATTTGAAATTTTGGTTGAATATCACTTTTTAGTTTATATACGTACATATTTGATATTTTTACTAAACTAACAATAAATTTTTAATGCAATGATATTGGTTATTTAAAAGACAAAAGGAGTTTGTATATTATATGAATTTTTTAATGTAATTTGGAAAGAATAGGAAATATATTTTTGATCAATGCTTTAGTTAAAAAATTAACAAATGTTAAAATCTTTTTAAAAAACTTACATATTGCAATATTCCATAAAATTATATACACTCAGTTCTGATTTAATGTGATTTTCATTTTAACACAGCCCAGAAAAAGATTCAATTTGTTTTGATCTAACACATTCTCAATAAATTTGTCTTTTTAAAAATATCCATTTGATTTTAGTTAAAAAAATGTATTTACTTCTTTTTCCAGAAAACTGCCTTTTTTTTTTTTTAAAAATAACTCTGAGAATTTGCATTTAAGACATACATGCCAAGTAAACTTTAAGATTTAGATATTTATTACAACTTATTTGAATGTGTGTAGTCTTTTATTCTGACTTTATCCCTCAATTGAAGCAGCCATGAAAAATTTAATTTAGAGTTTGACAATTAGTTTGTATAATTGAGTTTCTTCTGACTTCTTTTAATACAGAAGAGTTTCTGTATGCCATTTGGTTTAAAAGCTAGAGGTAGTTTGATGTTTAATTGAAATTTAATTGAAAAATTCTTTGAAATTTTACTGATTAAAGTTTACAATTATCTGATTTATTAATTACGATTGATATATATTGTTTAAATATGTTCGTTATATTAATTGGTTTATCATATTATTTTTATAAAGTTTTATGGTCAAACCAACCTTCCATTTTTCTATAAGGACAGTTTTCCATAAGGATTTTTCAGGGATATATCTACCATGTAAAAACAGAATTTAGTGTAAATAAATAAATAGTACATTATAGTAATATTGCTGATTACAATATTAAAAAAAATTACTTACAGTACAAAAATCATAAATTATTAATGA